ACAGTATGTGCTGTTGGGAATTAAAACGAAAAACGTGTGACATGTTTGCGTACAGATAATTACGCGTTGGTCGTTCCCCACGAAATGTTCCTGGGACTGTCGCGGCTTGAGAATACTGACTTACACTCTCCAAGCCCGTGCAATTTTACATGAGTCTGAATAAGTCGGCTACAAGTACGAGGGACGTGCCAGAAAGACAGCTTCATCTTGTACCAGTACGAATGACACTGACTTATGCTGCACGTTCATGGGCTCTGCAATCTTCTGGTTGAAGCAAGGCTCCAAGAGCCACTTGTGCACTTCCGCGTTGATCAACGCCACTCCACCTCAGGTTCTTGGATACTGAATCTGAATGAGACATGGAACTCTCGTAGACCACATGATGCAGTGCCAGGTCTATGCGAGGTTGACTCGCCACAGTCCTCGTCAAATGCACTAGCACAACATCCCCTGCGACTGCTTTGAGGTGGCAGCTCAAGCCAGTAAGGGTCAGTGCCGCAACCCGCCTCCGCCTCATTGAAACAGCACTACAGAACATGAAGAAATCCGCTTTGATGATCTTTGGGCTAGCGCTGACCTACCTATTCGCCAGATTAGACAACTCAGCCTAGCTCATGATCTCTCTGGCCCGGGCGTGAGGTGAGGCAGAGACCTTCCTGTCGAGCTGAATGCCTCGGGGAACAGGGTCACGCAAACGAAGGGCCGATGTATTGTCGTTCTACCGAACCTTTCCGGTATCTGGGAGCATTTCGAAGCAGAGACCCAAGGCCCGAGCCCGTCCGGATTGAACGGATTGCAGGATCGAGAACGGAGGGCCTTGGCAATCGGGTGGCCCTCTGGATCCATGCTTTCACTGACTTTGCGTAGCGGTTGGCACGAACGAAGGCTGCGGCGAATGCCAATCCGTCTCAGCAGCATCACCTGTCGAAATAAAGCGAGGATAACATCCCTGTTTCGTCTTGCTGAAACCGACAGGCATCCTGGAGTAGAGAAGTCGGTCATTAGTTGCTTTTCAGACTCAGGCTGCTGCCACAGCGGCCGCGAGCAAGAGTGAACCCCCCCATCCCCCACACTCCCTGGAAGCTGATCGGCAGCAGACCAAGTATGTCAAGTGAGATCGCGGTAGAGGTCAGCGCTCGGACAAGGCAGATGCACACAGGACTCAGCTTGGCTTTTCCCGGCACGAAGTGAGGAGAGGGAGAAGAGAGAGCCGCGATATCTGCTGCCACATGTTGTCATTCACAAATGTCAGGACAGCAGCAGCCGGCCGCGGGCTCCTCATGGCACATGATACATCTTTGGCCAAGCAGAGGCCAAACAGTCTAAGGCGAAGTCCTAAGAGCACCCCGGTGTCCTCGCAGCCACACATGCACCAACAACTGCAGCAGCTGCAGACCCCTGGTGCAGCCAAGCGAAACACAGGTTTTATGTTGGCATCGATTCCGCATGCGAAGGCGGGGCTCCTGCCTGGGCAGGCGTGTGCTTTAAGCGCCATAAGACTTCCAGTCCGTGAGGCCACTGCCTCGAGGACTTCTGGAGCTACTTTCTATGTGACGGGATGCCTTGAATACTGGACGATGCTGGACTCTCACCATACTGGCCGTGTTCCTTTGGCAAAGAACTGTTTGCCACTTAAGGACAATTCTGCACATTGCCATGTCCGCCTTAGTCACATGCAATGCCAGATCTTACGTGCATCGTGGGGGCATGCACCGGGCTGAAGCCATAGCCGTCGCGACAGCTGTCTCGTCCTCGGCTGACTGAACAGATGTTGGACCAATCAATGAACATAACGAAGAAAACCGGACATTCTCGAAACAAGAGCTTCAACCGCTAGTGAAATCATGACTCTTAGCCGTACTGTCCATCCTGAGCCCGCCGCAGAGGCTGCAGGAGACGCGGTCATCCTGCGACCAGGGCCCCATCACCGTCTAAGTCGCTGCAGGGTCTTCCTGCACCATGTCAGTTGACATCCTGTCTGGAAAAATCTCGCGCTAGCGAGGTTGCTTCGTGAAAACTTCAGATGTTGTGCAGCTTGGCCGAGTCTCACTTGACGGGACTATGTCACCTCATGATTGATCACAATGCCACGCAAGTGCCTAGGTTGTAGGCTGCTTCTAGATACTCGGGTCGATAGGACATCCATAGTCCCAAATTCAGACAGAGATAGGGCAGGATTCGACATCTGAACCGGGCCTGCCAAGAAGGTTGGCTGCATGCAGCCAACGACGAGACAAGCTTGGCTTGTCAGACAAGGAGCAAAGCATTGACATGTAGCCTCAGTGTGGACAGTCCAACCGCCTAGAGCATGTCCGGTCCTTGCCTTTTGAACACCCCTAAAACCGATGTCCCATTGCAAGCCCCGGACTGACATCATCAGGCTGAAACCTGCGTCAGACCGGCACGCATGCGAAAATTGACGTGTCGTGCATGCATGCACAAGGCCCATCGCGCCCAATTTCAGGAAGCAGATGGGCCGCGGACCGTTGAGAAAAAAAGCTGGCGAAGAGGCTTAGCGTAAGCGTCCACGCACCACTTGGCTCGCAAACCTGTGCAAGTGACGCCTGTTAACCAGCAGAAAAGCCTAGCTAATCAGCAACCCGGAACGCATGCACCGCAGCGTTGTAAGCGCAGTACGCCCAGCACGGAATTGAAGCTGAAGTGATCCAGCTCAACAGAAGCAGATTCCAGTCTTCCTTCGCGTCATGAGCATGCATGCCACTGCACGCTTCTATACTATGGGCTATGTAGGCACCATGAAGTCGCCCCCTCGAGCTATGCAGCCGGAGTGCGCAAGAACACCAAGACAGAGCGCCAAGTTGATCCCTGCAATCAACGGCGACTCATTCAGCGAATCTCACATCATCATGCAATTTGCACCGGATGGCTGCTCATCTGCGACCTGCAGAGATGCACTGGCCAAGGACTGGATGGCAACACAAGCACCTTGGTAGGCAAGCAGCGTTTGAAATCTCCTCTCGCAATCTGGACAAGTACCGTACCGTGACGACGGACAGCGGCTCAATGCTCTGTTCGAAATGGGCTAGCGGCTACAACAAAACAGCAGTACGGGCCAAGCAAATTAGCAAGACTTCAGGGCGTCAGTGGAATCAGAAAGTACAGTAGTTGTTGTCAATCTGCTTGTGGGTCAGGGCCCAGTCTTGCCTAGCCTGTCAAGCGAGGCAACAGTAGAAAGAGCAACCAGGAGCCGTCACTACCCCGAAACTACATCCTGTCATGCAGGCAATCGTAGATAATCGTAGACCCACCAGGCTCTCGGACAGCTTTTTGCTCGCGCCATTGCTGGCAGCACCATTGGCATGTGCGGCGGCTGTGGAAGGCCGTTCTTCGACCGCTTTGCGTCCACAGGGGCAGAGGCAACAGATGCACCCGCGACAGACAGCCCAGAAGCACCGACAGGGCCACACCAACAAGCACTTGAAAGCAGTTCTCAACACAAAGCCAATCATTCCGCAAAGTACATGGACGAACAGCGCAAGCCATGCTCCGACCAGGAGGTGGTCGCGCAAGAAGCTGTCAGGCTGGTCCGGAAGCAATTCCTGATCTTGCTCGGGCATCTTGGACCTGGCAGTCTCGAGCAGTGCCTGCAAGCGACGGCGGCAGATCTCAGAGAATTCCACAGCTTCCTGGAAGCGCTTCGATGCCATTTCAGCGAGTATGCCCATAAACTCGCTCTTGGCCACCTCCTTCTGCAGCCGCTCCTCGAGCTCGCCGATCTTGGTAGAGGCCTTCGCCTTCAGGCGCCCTCGAATTTTGCGCAAGATCCTGGCCGCCTGGGCAGCCGCGGCTCGGCCCTTCTCGGGATCTGCCCCGAGGCCCTCGTTGAGGAGAACCAGGAAGCCATCGAGGAGAAGCTGGAAAGATTGTTGCAAAGCTGCTCTCAAGGCCTGGGCTCGGCTTTTCGGCAAAAACATGGCAAAATCGACAGCTCGATTGCTAAGAGTGCTGCCACGAGGCGGTCACAAGAAGTCCAGCATTGCAAGCATCCCCGTCGCAGCGGATCTGACCAGAATAGAAAAGCAATAGTTCTCGCTCTTCTTCTTCATTGCCAGAGTGATGCTTTGCCCCCGTGTTGCCGTTTTCGTCTTGAACCAGCGGCTCGGACGGGCAGGAAGCCGGTGATGCCTCGCAGGCTTTGTCTGAAATTCTGCTGCGCGGTGGGCAGACAGCACACTCTCTCCTTCGATGAAGTCACCTCTATCTCTGCGTATTTAATTTGTTAATGCTCACTGCCTCGCGGCATGGCCGTATAGCTGCAACACTGGAAAGCCGCGGTGTTCGTCAGTGCACGTCAGTTGAGATGACGTGCGCTTGTTTCTAGGATGGAGCCGTCTCTGGCTCACTTCCGCTTCCGCCTAGCTTGGTCCGATCATGACACGCTTGGGCTTCGGCGAGCCTGTGGCTACTCTACCACTGACTTAGAGACAAAGACGATCGGAAAGGATATGAACACAAGGGTCTTGAATTAGAAAGCTCCACGCGGACCTCCGGTCTTAGCCCCAGAGGAAGAACATGCGAGAGCTCCCAGGAGCGGAGAAGCAAGGGAAGGGAGCCAAGTGGAGGAGACTAGGGCTGGAGGATGGATGGATGTGAGACCCTCTGCTCACCCGGTGGGTGAGGCGAACACGGTCCGAACGGACTTGAGCAAGCCGAGGCCAACGAAAGCTATCCCAAATTGCGCCTATGGCGATCCCCGCAGCGCAGGATGTGTTGAAGGAGGGAGGATGCGCGGGACACAAGGGACTCTTGCAGGACATGTGATAGTCACAAACCCTTGCTTGAAAAGCTAAACTCAAGCCCAGCTCCGCTAAAATTTCGTTACGTGATGCTGGAAAAAGACTACCGAACCACAATCTCGTTGTTAGGATGATTTGGGGTGGCCCCGCTCCCATTAAGAGCTCTGTCACGCCTTGCTGGCTGCAAGCCCTTCCTCGAGGACTGCGATGCGAGCCTTGGCCGCTTCCAGTGCCTCTCGCCTTTGCGGTCAGGCATTGACAACTTGGTCCAACCCACTTACAACTTACAGCCTCCATACACGACGTAGCATGAAGCCAAGAGAAGCGAACCGAACAAACTTCGTGACGGGTTTGCCAGCCTCTGACTGCAATCCCAAGAAGTTCTGACGAAAAGTGACCGGGCTCATGCCGATTGCTAAGTTTTTACGAGCCTAAATCCCGTTGCTCATAAGACTCCAGATGACCAAAGAGCCTCTGCGATGCATGCAGCACCAGTAATAGAACAAAGAGGTATGCTTTCGGGCAGCAATGGCTCCGCCTGCTCCGCACTCGCAGGTGAGATCACCTTGGCAAAGCGCAGGTGTGGCTACACAATCGCGGGCACTGCTCTGTGTTATGTACCAGAAAAGAAAGCTAGCTATCTAGAGCTTTGCCCAGACTCCGGCCTCTGAGCCAGCCATTCGATTGCAGCTGTCTTTGCAAGTGTCCATCATGAAATCCGGGGTCTGCTGGCATGCTCCGCCTGACGGCAGACTGAGTGTCTCTAGGCATCAGCACTGTCTGCAGCACAAAGAAACACCACCACCAGCAGGCAAACCAATCATGAGGGTAGCAATGCCCCGCTGCAAACTCTTCTCATTTGAGGCTACACATCATCCCAAGGCTCACAATAACACTCGCGTCCAACTGCATCCGTGGCGCCCTGTGCCCAGGTGCTGCAAAGGTCGGTGGAACCAGCTTTGACCAATTCTTGACAAGCGCTGGCACACTCCTCACATTGAACTGCTAGCCGCCGCTAGCAGGTTCGAACCATGAGCGCGTCAACGTCACCGCCAATGGCAGCAATGACAGCAGCAACAATCGAGTTGGCCATGTTTTGGCAGCAGTAGTAGCAGTAGCAGTAGTAGCAGTAGTAGCAGTAGTAGCAGTAGTAGCAGTAGCAGCAATGCTTTCCCTGTCGTGTGCAGTACGGCGACAAGATCGGTGCTCGGTATTCGATGGTTGCAGCGCTTCTCTCTCGTGATCGATGTCTCAACTTCTCCCGAGGAGACATGTTTCTTCGTCTGGGAGGACACTGGATTCCCGTGAATGTAAAGAAAGGCCTCTGCTTCGCAGTCTGCAAGGCAGAGAGCTGCATCAGTACAGTCATCTTGGAGTGTCCATCCGTTGCAGGGCTGTCGGCCGGGACGGATGTTGTCTCCATGTTCCGTTTAGAAGCTTTGAGCATGCTTAGATTTCAGGATCGGCGCTCACTTTTAATGAGAAGCCGGTGCGAGAACGCAGCGCCTAGCCTTTAGATGAGACGCTCCGGAGCCTTGGCAATCCGCACAGCAAAAGTAGTACTGCTAGTACTAGTACTAGTACTAGTACTAGTACTAGTACTAGTTAGTAGTAGTAGT